GGAAGCCCCCCCCACCCCACCCTGGGGCGCCCCCCCCCCGGCCCCCCCCCCCCCCCAGACAGGGACAGCCTGGCTGCGGGGACCCGTGGGGCTGCTTTGAACGGGGGCTCCACCCCGCTCCCCCAGAGACCGGGGACCTGGGGGTCCCACCACTGGGTGGGGGAACCACCCCTGCACCCCCTCCCACAGACCACACGCCAGCCCAGCTCCACTTCCCGATGGTTTATTCTTTACACATGCTTAAAAGCCTCCCCAGGGGAGGGGACGGTGACAATGACAGGAGTGTGGGGACAGGGCGGTGCGAGGATGGGGAGCATCCCAGTGCCAGGGAGCCCTGATTTCCCCATGGTGGGCTGCAGCAAGACCTGTGTCATCTGTCCCCATCTCCGCCCCCCCCGCAGTGTCCCAGCCCCTGGGACAGGACAGGGGCTTCCCTCACTCAGGGGACATGTGGTGTCCCCCTGCCCCCCACGTCCCCAGCAGCCAGCATCACCACAGACAGGGAAATGGGGCTGCCCCAGGGAAAAAGGCATTTCCCCACCGTTCCCTTGCACAAGGGCCACCTCCATGCCAGGGGACACAGGACTCAGCTGTGTCCCCCCCACATCGACCCCCCAGCTTCACCCAGGGTGGGCGAGGGGTGGGGAAGGGGTGATCCCCTCCCAGCCCCGCTCACAGAGGACAGGGCAGCCCCAGCATGGGCAGAGGTCAGGATGGGGCTGTGCCCACGTGCAAGAGAGGGGTGCCCACCGTGGGCAGGGGGTCCTGGGACCCCACGGCCGCTCAGGGCCCCGACTCCTTCTTCCGCTTCTGGAAGCGGCGGAATTTGCCCTGGATGGCGAGCGCGGCTTTCTCCGTCTCAGGCGCGCTCAGGTCGATGTCAATCTCTTCCTCCTCCACCTTCTTGGGGTCAATGGCTTTGGCTGGGGGGGGGACGGGACACGACATGCAGGACAGACGGACACACATGACAGGACAGGGGCTGCCCTGGTTACAGCCTGGCACCCCCAGAGTCACTCCAGCACCCAAGGAGCACCCTGAACCACCCCCCCAGCAGGGGACACCCCAGGGGACACCCCATTCACCCCCCCCAGGTGAGGGACACCCCATCACCCACCACCTCGGGTGAGGGACAGCCAGGGAGACACCCCCCACACCC